CTCCCTCCCTCCCTTCTTTCTTTCCTCCCTCCCTTCTTTCTTTCCTCCCTCCCTTCTTTCTTTCCTCCCTCCCTTCTTTCTTTCCTCCCTCCCTTCTTTCTTTCCTCCCTCCCTTCTTTCTTTCTTCCCTCCCTTCTTCCCTCCCTTCCTCCCTCCCTTCTTCTTACCTCCCTCCCTCCCTCCCTTCTTCTTACCTTTGATAAAGGAGGGGGGACACAACCCTCCCTGGTGGTCCGGTGGTGGTAAGTACAGTAGGGAGCAGCTCTTCTGTCCTCCCTCCCGCCTGCACGATGCTCTGTGGAGCGTTGCCATGGTAACGTGCGGCAGCGCTCCACACCGATTGCTCGCGGGAGGACAGGAGAGCTGCTTCCTAGAGTCCTCCCCCTGCATCCCGACCTGGAAGCAGAGTAGGCGCCTGCCGTTTTGGGCAGGCAGGTGTCTACTCTTCATTGATGGAGAACCTATGGTTGGTGCCCACAGAGAGGGCCCGGCGTGCCACCTGTGGCACACGTGCCATAGGTTCGCCATCACTGGTCTATAACATCGTTTTATTATCTGTAACTTTATTTGGTACATTATTTTTTAAAAGCCCAACCAAAATGTTAATTTTGTTTCAAATAACCCCTTTACACTGGCACTTATGTATACACAACTGCCAGGCTTTACAACCATACCCAGCAATCGTGTATAAATGATTAGCAATAATTGCAAATTGTGCCATAACTACAGCCAAAGAGCTCACAAAGCAGCGGCATAGGGAGCCGTGACAATGCTAACCCCTGAAGATGAATATAGACATAATTTCTGTGTCCAATGCTGCAAGCCCACCCTTCATTATACCTACAGCTCCTTATACACACACAAGCCTCATGTTTTGCCTAAGGCCTCGCAAAGTCTAGAGCCTCCCCTGCCACCAGGTATGAGCCCCCATCACCTCTAGGAAGAAATGATGAGGGTTTATGTAACATCTAGAAAGAAAGAGCAAATAACTTGAGGAATTTTTTGACAACTTGCTATTGCGCAAGTGAATTGGTGATAGAGGGAAAGCAAAATGATTGAAGATGGGTGCCATTAACCCCTTCAGGACCGAGGACGGTTCAGGACCGTCATCAGCATTTTTGCATTGCCGACCGGTGACGGTCCGGAACCGTCCTAACGGTGCAATGTACTTACCTGGTTGCCGTCGTTCCCCCGGCAGCGATCTGCGTTGCTCCCATTGTGGGGAGACTGCCTGCAGCCTAGACCGTCTCCCCGCGGTGGATTAGGACCCCTGGGGCCATGTGATCGCTCAACAGAGCGATCACATGGTCACAATAGGTGTCCATGTGTATGCCTGCAGGGGGACTGCCTGTGCTGACAGGCAATCTCCCTGCTAGTGTAAAATCATAAAATAAAATAAAAGGTTAATGTTAATAAATAAATAAAAATATATGTGTGTATATGTATGTATGTATGTGTGTATATATATATATATATATATATATATATATAATGTCATACTAAGTGTATTTTTATATTAATATGTACATATAAAAATTAGTATTTTATAATAAAATTATTATAATTTAATTAACTTATAATTAAATTACACACGTGTGTGTGTGTGTGTGTGTGTGTGTGTGTGTGTGTATATATATATATATATATATATATATATATATAATTAATAACTATATATATTTTATATAAATATTATAAAATACAAATAAGTAATTTAAATTAAATAAAAACATGTAAAAATAAAAAAATATCTATATGAAATTTTATTCTAACTGTATTTTGATATATATATATATATATATATATATATATCAAAATACACTTAGAATGAAATTGTATATATATCTATGTATATATAAATAAATAAAAATAATACGAAATATACATATGTCCATGCACAAAATTACATAAATAATTATATAAATATAAAAAACAAGGTGTATAAGAGTTATATCCAGAATAATCAGCTAAACGCGTTTCACTCTATGAGCTTCCTCAGTAGCGGTATATGAGTGAAATGCGTTTAGCTGATTATTCTGGACTTTTAATTGGACTCAAATTTTATTTTTTACTTTTTAGTATGTATTTTGTTTTTATTGTCAATAAATTTATACATTATTATTATTTTACACTTTGGTTTAAAGTCCTTTCTAGCCGTCAGAAACTCCATTGGGGAGAGTGCTATTCCCCCTCAAAAGTAGCATATTGCTTTCTAACCTCAGAGCCGGGATTTCAGGGCTCTGGAAAAGGTGAGCACTACTATTTATACCCTTTGATACTAATATAGTATATGCTTTTCTGCACAGTTGCTTTTCTGTTTTCTCTGCCTGGGACAAAGGGGTGTTTGCTGCCCAAAGAGCATAAAGGATCTTTTTACGGAGCCAATACTAAATAGGCTCCTGTCCATGTGAGTGGTGAGTAAACCCCTTTACTGTTTAAAGCACTCCACTTGTTTGGTATAATACTTATACCTTATTTTTTGTATTTGTTTTTTATTGTGGGTAAGGGGTATTCCACTTTTAGTGTTGAGCAGCTTCTATCTTTTGGGCACTGTCAAGAAACACTCTCTATCTCTTTGAGATAGTTTGTTTGTTTTATATTCAATTATATAAATATACACGTAGACTTCAAATATATAAATATGCATATATATTTAAATTCTACGTGCATATTTATGTAATATTTTTACATAATTCAGTAATTTAATTGATTGCAATTTGAGGGACCTGCCTGCCAACCCAGGCCGACAGTCCAGAGAATTTAATTTGCTAGCACTATATTTTACCCTGTAAGTTTCTATGATACCCTAATACTTGTACATGGGGGGTACTGTTTTACTCAGGAGACTTCGCTGAACACAAATATTAGTGATTCAAAACAGTAAAACATATCACACATAAACAGCACTTTTACTGATGATATAATTGTTGTGATACGTTTTCGATTGTGAAACACTAATATGTGTGTTCAGCGATGTCTCCCGAGTAAAACAGTACCCCCCATGTACAGGTTTTATAGCGTTTTTGAAAGTTACAGGGCCAAATAAATGGGTCAAATATTTTACATTGAAAAAGGCCAGGTTGGTTACGTTGCCTTTGAGAGCGTATGGTAGCCCAGGAATGAGAATTACCCCCATGATGGCATACCATTTGCAAAAGAAGACAACCCAAAGTATTGCAAATGGGGTACGTCCAGTCTTTTTTAGTAGCCACTTAGTCACAAACACTGGCCAAAATTAGCGTTCAATTTAGTTTTTTACTTTTTTCACACACAAACAAATATGAATGCTAACTTTGGCCAGTGTTTTTGACTAAGTGGCTACTAAAAAAGACTGGACATACCCCATATTGAATACCCTGGGTTGTCTACTTAAAAAAAAAAAATATGTACATGTGGGGTGGGATTTATGACAGATAACAGTGTTACAATGTCACTATTGATAAATTTTAAAAATGTATGTTTTGAAACTGCAATATCCTACTTGTAGCTATAGCCCTATAACTTGCAAAAAAAAATGTAAACACTGGGTCTTTTAAAACTCAGGACAACATTTTGAATCTATTTAGCAGTTTTTTTATTCGCTTTTGTAGATGAGTAAAAGATTTTTCAAGTAAAAGTTAAAAAAAAGTATTTTTTTTTTTTCAATTTTTCACCATATTTTTTTATTTTTTTTAAATTAAATTACATGAGATTATATAAATAATGGTATGTAAAGAAAGACCCTTTTTGTCCTGAAAAAAACCATATATAATTTGTATAGGTCTATCATTGATTCTCAAAACCTAGAAAACCATTCATAATCATACAATTGTGCCAAATTATCATGAGAAAAATAAATTAATTTCCATGAAACTCTAAACACCAAATTAGTGAACTGAAAACTGAATTGCATAATGTAGGGGAAAAAAAATTATTTGGAAGAAGTCTTTAACTCAGAGGTAATCACATGTTGTCTACTTAAAGGGAAACTATAGAGCCCTTCTCCCCCCCTTCTTCCCCTTGGAGCAGAAGGCGGTAAAACCACTTCTGTCACTTACCTAATTCCAGGGCCAATGTTCCTCAACTTTGAAAGAGGCTCCACCTCCGCTCCTCCCCTGCTAACATCAGACCTAAGGTGCATGTGCGGCGATGGCGGCGCTAGCCTTAGTACTTCCCCATAGTAAAGCATGCATAATGCTTTCCTATTTGGGTTTTACATGACGCTGGATGTGCTCATGCATAGCGTAAGGGCCGTCTAACAACCAGAAAGTCTCTCTAGTGGCTGTCTTGTAGACAGCCCCTACAGGTGGAGTTAACCCTCAAAGGTAAATATTGCAGTTTATTAAAAACTGCAATAATTATCACTGCAGGGTTAAGGGACTTAGGATACTGCATCTAGACCACTTCATTGATCTGAAGTGGTCTTGGTGCCTATAGTGTCCCTTTAAGCCTAGATTTTGAAATCCGTATCTAATTCACAACAATTTAGTGTTTATTGAATAAATCTGTAACGGATCACCTGGCACCCCAACTGGGTACCTCCGTTGAAGGATGCTCCTAGCACTTCCTGAGGACTCCAAGCACTGCAGCAGACACCACAACCACCGAACCAGAGAAGCATACAAATGCTCTCAAGCATATGAATGCTGTAAGCAGCTGAACAGGAAAAGCATACAATCAGCTTACACTCCTGGCAATCAGCATAGAATCCAATTCCCCCAATAACGAGACAACACTTCGTTTTGAGGTCAAGCAGAACTGACTGGACTGGCACGGCACATACAGCCTCTTTTATTCCTAATCCACAAACATAGTACTGCCCACAGGGTTTTACAGAACAACCAATAACACACGTACATTACAGAAAACACTCCCAGCAATTATACACAAAATCCTCCCCTCTGCTTGTGATCTAATTATGGCACACAATGGTTTAACATAATTATCACAAGCAGGAAAAATACAGTATCATAAAACACATCACAGGGACCCCAAAAGATACAATAACCCCATAAATATCTTTGGAACCGGGGGATCTGGGTGAACCACATATCCCAAATTCACCCAGATCCGTTCAGTACTTTGGAAGATACAGTTTAATGCAGATTCCACAGAACATATGCAGGCTATATGAAAAACAATTACTGTATAATGTGTCCCCTGTTGCATAGTCCAAAACCACTGCACGATGTCTCTGTGCACCAAATACCAGCGAGATGGCACCGTTTTGAAAAGTCCAAACAGTGTCTGTGAGTTAAAATGTCCGCCATCCATTGTTCTCACCATGCGCTTCATCCATTGTTCTCACCATGTGCCTCTGATACAGGAAATGGTGGCCACCCAGTAACTCCACAGTATGTCCCCAGATGGATCTTAAAGGGCCAGCAGCAGCACAACACAAATCCATTATGCCCAAATCATGTCTTTAAAGGGCAATATATCCCAGGGGCCATAGTCACATGGCAGGAGGCTGGCAATCAGTCTTCTCCAATGCCCAGTGGCAAGGTCGGTTTCGCCACAAAATCCATGTGACTTTTTTTTTTTTTATTCTTTTTTTTTTTATGTGCATGAGATAACAGAAACAGGCTTGCAATGCCACAACAGCAGTTACAGGCAGTTCGAAAACAAGCATAGGAGAACATTTGCATGGCAATCACAGAAAAGGCACAATTTTTAAAAATGTTGAATACAAGATAAATAAGTATATCTAATGTGGTAGGTCACGTTGAGATCGTCAAGCCGGAGACATTAAACATGTAGTGATTCATTCAAGTGTGTATGAGCAACCGATGTTAAAGAGCAAGGAGTATGATAAAATAATAGTGAAAAGACAAATGAGTGAGTCATACATAGTGCGGATTAAACTAAGTAACTCTAAATTAATATATGATGTACTACAATATGGTGATACACACACGAGTGAAACTTTTCTCCGGGACTGGTTAATCAGGAAAGAGTAGGTAAGTGATATTAGCATTGCAGGGGTGTGGAGGGAGAGAAGGAACATCAGGTCTTAAAAGACCCATTAACTATTAATGCAGAGTCATGATTATTAGGCGTAGTATCCGTTCATTCCCATTAAGTCACCATGGTGCAAGTGTCCCCATTCACCTGATACCAGATGTTGGCAGGCATTCGGCGTAGGTCTGGGAATAGTCCGAGGCATTCCGTGCAATGGCATTCTCCTGTGCCGGAGCTGCATAATGTCGGCTGGTATGGCTTCAGATGCTTAGGGCTGTGTGTGGGAGATCTCCGGTTGTGTGGAGGCCCAGACAGGCGGTAACTCATGGTGGGTCTGCATCAGTGTGTTCTCTTCACCCTCTTCTCCTGCTTCATTGCGGTCAGTGGTTTGACAGTGCTCTTTGGAGCTGGTTTTGGTGTAAGTGGAGCATTGGGCCATCAAGAGACTTCAATGGCTGCTTGAGTCTGTGTCAGTTTGGCCCACAGTTGTGCCCAGAAGTGGTCAAAGGCTTTTGCCTTGCAGTTCCCATGGGGGGTCCCGCCATCTGGACTCAGTGTAACCGCCATCTTAACTTGGAGCATGTGGACCTGTTTCTTGGTCCCTGTAATCACTTTACCCAGGATCATGCACCGATGGACGCCCAGTGAAGACCTGGATAACACCTCCCCCCGGTCCAAAGGGGGGGGAGGGATAGGAGTCCAACTGAGTCGCTGGGTAAGTCTAGTGTCAGGAAGAGCATCCGCCTCTCCTCAGCTCCAGCTCTAGTAGGCTGCAGTTCAGCTTTCTGGTCTCCCGGCCTTGGCGGACTCGAGTGAGGTGTCAGTCGATTCAGCAGTGCAACCCCGATGTGTGAGGCTCACACAGTGCAACCCCGATGTGTGAGCCTCAGATTGTACCCCAAAATCCACACGTTAGGCAGGAGCTCATGCTGCCCACGTCTGCACTGCTCAGAGGTCAGGCTCCACCCCCAAAACCCATGTAACTTTTATAAAAAGATAGAAGTGACATCAGAAAATAGTTTTCTTAATCACTTTTTTTTTTGTAAAGTGCTCTTCGTTAAATAACACTTTTTTTTTTTTTTTTTTAATGTGCAGAATTCATAAAGGCTTTTTTTCCCCTCAAACATAACTGTTTCTCTATTATGAAACCAGTGGTTTATGAACAATGTTGCTGAACTAATTGCATTGACAAATGCATTATAAATAAAAATAATCAAATTGACTTGCAGTGAAATGTGATTGTTTTGGAAAACATAGCATACTCCATAGGAATATCTGTGTTCCTGACGCAGACAGCCATGTCTATTAATAATGTATACTGTATGCTTCCTCCACACCACCACAGGTGATTTGATTTACATCTACTCTTTAAAAACACAGCTTTATGATTCATTTGTAGGGTAGTGGGTGGAAAGAAGCTGAAATTTCCATTAATTTTGCTTTAAGGTGTTCATTATGGTATGCTAAACATTTTTTTTAATTAACGCAAAATCCGCACATCCATAATTATGTTTCTCCGTAATGAAATGGTTCACTTGATTTGTGTGATTAGAGTATGTGTTTCTAAAACCGTCAACAAATACAGAGCACATCTAGCATTAATATTAACATTTTTTTTTCATTTGCATATTCAAGTGTTCATATTCCACTTTTATTTTAACATGATCAGTTGGATAAAATAATTTGCAAAAACGTCCGAAATGTACGGTATGAAGAGCAAATTTAGATGAACTCTAAGAAGATGCTATATCAAGTTCTCTTGGGCTAAATTTATGGATGAGCTTTGCAAACCGAAAATGAAATCATGCAAAATTCATGTTCAGATTTTTGATTTTCAATCCATCAACTTGTGCATCCCTATTCTCTGTTCAATCATAGAAGGCATGCTACTGTTTTGTTAGATTAGTTTTCAATTCCCATGCTGACTTTCCTCTTCTCACTAGAATGCAGTCAGAGTTGTGATGACCATTGTATTATACTGACCGCTGATAAACCTAAATCCTGATCCCAGAGTACATGAAGAGGACCAGGCTACATTAATCTTAGTAATAAACCAAAACTAGTTGCAATAACATGATCATCTATTTACAGTTTGTGAATGTATCTCTATGTATTTGTGTATGTATATTTTACGTATATAGCCCAAATAAGCCTACTTGTAGAGGTTAATTTACAGAAGCAACTAGGTTTGCTAAATGTAAGACTTAACCACTTAGATTAAGTTGTTATGGTGGCTGGAGTCCACCAGTGCGGTGTTAACATTTTAAATCTCCTTGAATGGTTTAATATTAAACATGTGTCCCCCGGTGACCATCTCTTGCCCTCCTCTTCTGCTTCTGCTGTAACATAATGGAGCTGGCACTGGCAATGATTGACTGGAAGTCTCCTCACGCTGTTGCTTCCACATTACCTGGAACACATTTCTATTGTTAAACCCTTCGAGAACAGTTTAAAACTTAAAGGTAACAATGTGCGGGGGGACCATAACAACATAACAGTTAAAGTTGTTATGGTGCCCATAGTATTCCGCATTACCCATACATGGAGACGATTTACCTTAAATAATGGTTTAATACTTAAAGAGAACACTGTGCCGGGTTGTATTCCTCTATATCGATACATGCATTAGAATAGGACAGTGATTCTCCTCTGTTCTTGTCTGCTGTGTCAGGACCCTAAAAGCACATTATATTCATTGGAGCACAAGCGACTAACTGATTTCAAAAAATGTTTTATTATTGTAGAAGACCCTAGGTACAATAAAGACCATGGCACTGGTAAAAGTCAAATCAAGGGTTTTGACAGCAAACACTTTAGTGTAAATTATATTGTGTATGGATCACTATTAATTTTGCAATTTAAATATTTGTTTCAAAGCTAATATCGAATAACTTCTATTTCAAAGAGATTAAGCACCACTGGGTTATGCTTTCCTGTTGAATAGAACTTGCATTCGGAATGGGAATGGAGACATACACAGATTTACTACTCACATGAGTTTTGGAGAAGTGATAATGGAATTGTAAGATTTAGGGCAAAAGTTAGTTATGTTTTTTGTTCTAAAATATGCAATTATCTTGTATTATTGTCACAAATCCCAGTTTCCCAGTATCCCTAACATATATAAGAAGGAGAAAGAGCATGTGTTGCTTGAATGAACGAAACTTAGATGGTAAAATCAATGCATCAATTTAGTGCTTTCATATATAATAAACGGATTTGACGTTATATGTACTTATTATTTCCTGCCTGATGTATCATACTTGGGTATGTCATATTCTGCTATTCATTTATTTTGGTTAATTGTTTCTATTTAGAAATATGAGACTTTTATTCTGGATGACATCTGCGCTGACAATATGTACGCTGAATGCAACCCAGCCAAGGCCTAACTATCTTCTAATAATGGTTGATGACCTCGGAATTGGAGATGTTGGCTGTTATGGAAACTACACAATTAGGTTTGAAATTTTTTTTTTATATTTATATCTGCTATAGAGATCAAAAGTATCATTTAAGTCTTTGACGTAAATCGTTCTGAAGTGCATTTCAACCCCTTAAGTACCAATGATCAGAAAATTCTGTACATTATGACTTGACTGGCTATATACAAGTGTCATTTTTTTTGGTGCTAATAATATGTAGCATTTCTTATGTATAAAAAATGGTATATTTAAAAAATAAGTAAATGTTGCATTGGGAACATAAAAGCTTGACAATTATGTGATTTCAATTAAGAAATGTCAAGGTTTTCATTGACATGCTTGTATGTAAAAATGATATTTTTTTTTTGCATATGTTCTTATTGACTGTTCTAAAGCTCTAGCAGTTTACTTTTTTTGAGTATGGTGCAAAGACCCTGTCCCTACAGCATTTCTTTTGAAAATGTTTCCTTCTAGAGATGAATACCATCTTTCTTTTTTTTTGTGTAGGGATCTCCCCTGCTGTCAATCAACTACCTGGAATACATCCTGGCTGGCAATATCAATTTTGTGTAATTTTTGTGTGTGATATCATCAGACACAGCATGCTAACCCTAGATACCTAGAACAGGTTGCCCAAGGCTGGATGCTCATTGATAAAGAAAAAAATTAAATTGCTTCTGGTTTTTAATCTCTGCTCCTCCTAGGTACAGAGCTCAGATGGAAAAAGAATCCAAGACATTCTGTTGAGAATGTATGTTCCATCTAATTAAGGGCCAGAAATTGCCTTTGCTTTCTAGACTAAAACTCCTATTATGCTCAGTGAGTTTCCAATTGACGTTGGTTAGAGTTAAAATATACATCTGATGTAAAAGGTTACTGAGCCTGATGAGAATTTTAATACAAAATAGCTTTTTCCTGATCAATCATGGCAGCATTTACTCCTGGGTTAGCTTCTCCCCTCATAGCAGAAAGAACAGGAAATAACACTCTGAAACTGGTTCCCATCAGGCAGTCTTTTTTCCTGTCCTTCACAGCAGTTTTTGAAGTAGTCTGCTTATGCAGGCCTAGATTTTTCTTTTATACTCACCAGGCAATATGTTTGTAGTCCTGCCAGCCTCTAAGCCCTGAAGAACCAGCAATGCACTATTGTAAAAGTGGCTAGCCTGGGTACGCCCTTTAGTGACTGGGGGTCGGAGGCAACCTCTCCCTCAGGGGATGAAAATGCCAGGGTTCAGCCTCTTAAGGCCCAGCAACAGCATATCTCTGAGTCGCCAGCCTGGGTAACCGCTCAGGGGATGAACGTGATCTACTGCCTACATGAAGCCATGCCAGGGTTCAGCCTCTTATCCCTGAAGACCCAGCAAACAGTACATATGCAAGAGTTGCCTGCCTGGGTACCTACTTCAGCAACCAGGAGTCTTACCCATCTCTCTCCCTGAGGGGATGACAGCGGTCCACTGCATACATGAGGCCCAGCCGAGTCTAAGTCTTTATCCCTGAAGACTCAGTAAACCACACTTCCATTAGGGTATGCCTCTTCTATGTATTTCACCTTCTCTGGGGTTTGGTTTAGATGAACAGCATATGGGGTACACATGGAAGTCTATAGTTTAAAAAGTTTAGGCTGTCAGTTGTTCAAATCCCCATTTTGCAGCTGAAACAGAGGCATGCAGTTGTTCAGGTAAATGCATTAGTAATTTAGATTAAAACTTGTATAGGCACCTGGGTCTCTGTTCATTCAGTCCCTCCCAGCTGCCAGGGCCGGACTGGGGATACAAAGCAGCCCTGGAAAAAAAATTTGTGCCAGCCCCATAAGTCACTCCGCCATATATTGTCGCGTGTAATATGTAAGGCTATGTCTTGCAGGACAGATGATTGAGTAATATATATATTGCTTTTTCTAATATAAAATATTGGTCCTTTCAGGGTAAAACCTTTACTCATACAGTAAGCATACTCACATGCAGACACAGGCAATTTCACTGACATCTCAATGACACACACAAGCTCATTGATACACAGCCTCATAGACAAACAATCTTACTGATATACATCAGCTCACTGACATAAAAACACAAGCTCACACACTAGCAGGCACACGCAAGCAAGCTCACTCACTAGCAGACGCACACACACAGCTTAATGTGGTGGTACTGGTGTCTATAGCATGTCCCTACAGGCTTTTCAACGTAAACACTGACTTTTCAGAGAAAATGCAGTGTTTACATTGCTTCAAAGTGACACTGCTAGTGACAGTCACTCAGACGGTCACTAGAGGTGCTTCCTGTGTTAGTGCACCTACATTCACGGCCTCCACACTCTGTAGGTGCTGAACGTTCCCCATAGAGATACATTGATTCAATGCATCTCTATGAGGAGATGCTGATTGGAGTGGCGTTTTGCAGCCAATCCTATGGCAAAGCATTGGATTGGCTGAGATCATCAAGCTTTTTCTTTATTCATGCCAATCATGTTGCACATTGCAAAAATGCCTCATATGTCATTCACTTTAACTCATGACCATTCCTGTACTATCCGTACTTACATGGAATCTCATTCTACATTAATTGATTCTAACTATAAAAACGGCAAAATAAGTATCAGTAGATACACAAAGTCCAAGAACCCAATACCAATGAATGACTATGGGGTCATCTACCAGTATTCTCAAGGTTTCTACAAAATATAATCCATCTTGGTGGCATATAAGACTAATCAGACCTACAAATATATTAACCATAATTCAAATGGCCAAAACTGTATATTCAAATCAGTATCAAGCTTGATGATCTCAGCCAGTCGAGGGGAGACCAGCACACTGCGTGGGGGAAAAAAAAAGGTGAGCAAAAACACTATTATATTCTTTGTTCTGTTGTAAACGTGTGCTCAGTCGGGTATTCCAAGACTATTGTCTGATTGGGACTTTGCAGCTGCAAAACAATAAATAGCCTTTGTTCTTCAATGACCTGTCTTTGGAGTGTTTTTAGTGTCCCTGCATCATCTCTGACCCAAGAATTCTTCCAGCTTGGTGCATTGGCCAGGAATTAAAGGGTTAATAGAGGAACCCCTAAGAAAAAGAACTGGGTCTTACTCCGTGAGGTATGCTTTGGAGCAGGTTCGGATGACCTCCGAACTTTGGCGCCTGCCGGACTGTTTGTTCGGAAAAGTTCAATTTCTTCTGGGCCTTCTCCATAACTTAAATTATTAGTGGATGTTAACACCAAGAGTATAGTGAGTGAGCCTCCTGAGCCCCGATGCACGCATTTCGCCAGAGTGGCTCATGAGAGGGGAACCAGACACAGGTAAGTGCCGGTATTTTTAACATAAAGGTTGTCGGTGATTGGTCAAAGCATTGTGTGTTAACCAATGGTAGGGGGGAGGAGGCGTATCCAAAATGACATTGTGATGACTGTTTTAACCCCTACTTCACCGCCTGTGTCTGAGGGGGATATTTAAAGACAGAGGAAAGGAATAATAATGTAAAAGTTATATTAGAATGAAATAAATAATAAAGTAGTACTCTCACGTTAGTGTTGTAGGATGAGTTATGGCTATTTGAATATACAGTTTTGGCCATTTGAATTATGGTTAATATATTTGTAGGTCTGATTAGTCTTATATGCCACCAAGATGGATTATATTTTGTAGAAACCTTGAGAATACTGGTAGATGACCCCATAGTCATTCATTGGTATTGGGTTCTTGGACTTTGTGTATCTACTGATACTTATTTTGCCGTTTTTATAGTTAGAATCAATTAATGTAGAATGAGATTCCATGTAAGTACGGATAGTACAGGAATGGTCATGAGTTAAAGTGAATGACATATGAGGCATTTTTGCAATGTGCAACATGATTGGCATGAATAAAGAAAAAGTTAATAACTAAATGGGAAAAATGATAAAGATAATGTGATGGCTACCCTTAACCAAAAAACTAATAATGATATATTTATGATGGCAGAAGTTTGGGCAACCCGATATTGTTTGTATATCCCCTGATAGCCCCGATCTGGGTGACCAACATATCCAAAAATCACCCAGTTCAGTTCAGGATTTTTTCGAATTTAATGGAAGTCCAATTTGGACCAACCGCAGACGAGGCTCCTAAGAAACAGTTCCATGAATTTAGGCTGTGCGGCCGGTCTATTTCGACAAATCACAAAACCGAACTAATGCACGAATGGACCCCCTGGCTCATAGTAGCGATTGTTCCCCTGGTTCATGGGAACCAAACTACCAAACAGCGCTCTCCTAGCTGTTCAGGAAAAGGAAGCAGGCGATTGTATAGTTTGACTGGTGTTCAGGAAGTAGAGTGTCCGATTTTAGTTCCAGACTCTCGACGACCAAGTCCCGCTGGCTCCTTTCGTGTAAACAAGATGGCCACCATTTTATCCTGCACGTAGCGTTCGCCTATACGAACGGCGGCCACACAGGAAGAGCGCTTAATTGATAGTTTCCTTTGGTGGTAATGAGCCAGGGGGGTGGTCACTGGTTATGTAGTTTTGAAACTACCTAATAAACAAAACTGGGAAAACATGCGAAATATTGTTTGAAAAAGTCTTGAAAATGCTGGGTTTTCTAACATCCTCCAAATGGTAACACCGCTCTTGACCTCCCACATAGCTTCTGAATCATGTCTATATCTGTCCCAAAAGAGGTAGAATGGAGGTTATTTGTTGTTAAGGCCCTCATGGATGCACCCTCACTACCACCAGGAATTATAGACACCCCAGGTATATGGGCTGAACAAAACCCCTTTGTTCTTGCCCTAAACAGGCCTCCGGTCCAAATTGAACTGAAACCACCCCCGCCTGCTAAAGACCGTACCAGAAGAGGAAGACAATATGAAGTCAGAAGAGAGACAATATGAAGACAGAAGATGGCCAACATACACCCAACATGAGAGATTTGCCCCTCTGACCAGACTAATGACTGAGCCAGTAGAGGAGATGACTTTGTGGGCCTGACAGACTACCGACCTCTTCAGGATCTCAGGGCAGTCAACAAGGAAGTCATGACAATTCACCTGGTGGTGCCTCATCCCTATAACCTGTTGGCCCTTCTACCTGGAAGAGCCCCCCCATTTCACCATCCTAGACTTGAAGGACACTTTTTTCTGTATACGCCTTGAACTTCCAACGGATATTCACTTTCCAGCGGGAAGATTCTAGCACCAGAATTAAGAGACTATTAACCTGGACAAGACTGCCTCAAGGTTTAAAAAAAACAAAAAAAATCCCCCACCCTGTCTGGAGAAGTACTCTGTCACGATTTGCGAGATTTCATGCCTGAGTCAGGCCACTGTATGCAAAATGGGGATGACCTCCTTATTGCTGCCACCTTTCAAAACAAATGCCTGCAAGCTATTAACCAACTGTTAAGAATCTTATGGAAAACCGGATACAAGTTGTCCAGAAGAAAAGCCCAAATATACTGCACAGCAGGTAAGTACTTAGGATTCCATAACTCAGAGGGAAGCCATAATCTTGGCCCAGGATGCAAAGAGGCCGAGTGCTGCATCCCCATACCCACCAGTCACTGGAAAATGCGTGAATTTTTTGGGTGCCAGATTCTGTCGCAGGTGGATAACTAATCTCGCGATCAATGCAACGGCCCTGAACATGACCCATTTCTGTGGGGACAAGAACAACAGACGTCTTTCAGAACCCTGGAGGAGGCCTTGGTCCAAGCCCCAGCACTTGGACTTCCTGATCACCAAAGAGTGCTTTACCTGTATGTCCAGGAGAAGAGGAAATCCGCTGTTGATGCTCTCACCCAATACTTGGGCTCATGGCAGGGTTCTGTTGCATACCTGTCCAAACAACTGAGAACAGTGACTGAGGCTGAGGCTGCTCTCCTTATTCCAGAAGCTGGTAAATTGATCATAGGACAAGAACTCTATGCCGTCCAGCCACAAAAGTATTAAGCCATGCTATGTGAGAACCCAAGGAACCACTGTGAAACTATCAACTAGCTGAACCTAGCCACTTTACTCCCAGAAACTGACCTCAGGGCCTTGCAACTGGTCGCGGGCCTACGTGTCAACATCTACACTGACTCGTGCCCCTGGGTCCCTGTACAAGGAACTGGGCCTACTGAACTCTGGAGGAAAATGCATCAAGCATTCATCTGAAATTTTGGCACTACTCAAAGTGGTCTGGGCTCTTGCCTAAGTTAGCACCATTCATTGCTGAGCCCACCAGAAGGGCAACGCTGGTGTGACAATTAGAAACAGGCTGGCTGATGGCACTGCAAAACATATTGCTTTGAAAGACTCTGTGCCTCAGTCAACCCTTGTCCTGCTGTTCCTTGTACCCATCTCTGACTGGTCACTCCTATATAGCCTAGCTGAACAAAATGGAATGGTAA